TAAATATTAAATTATTTCATGTATAGAACATTCATTTTCATACGGAAAATATAAATTCTCGTTGCTTCTTGCGAAACTATACATATAATACACATCCTTAAATAAGATCTATTAAAATTATATCTAAAGCTTTGTGCGCAAACAGAAAATTTCTATACTTACTTCTTTAACAACAAGCTTTCTTCCTTTGATGTCGTATCGGTGCATCTTTTCCACCGCTATCTTCACCGAGTCTGAATCTTCGAATTCCACTATCCCACATCCTCTAGGCTTATCATTCTCATCTGTAAAGAGCTCCACGTGCGCTACCTTTCCAACCTCGGTTCTAAACAAATCCTTAAGATCTTGCCAACGAAAATCGTAAGGAATGTTGGAAACATAAATTCGACGTTCAGAAGCCTTCCTGCCGCGATCGTTTCTGTCTCTACTGCGATCGCGACTGGCCGAGTTTATGCGGTTTGGTCTGTCTGATCTTCGATTACGGTCGCGCTCTCTGCTTCTATCTCTGTCATCATTGTTTTGTGCCTGATTACTGTAATTACATGTGCAAAGTAATATATCATACATATACAGAGTTGTAATATTATAACATTATATAATACATTAATTTCCATTTCTATCAATGTAGATTAACTTTAATCTCAGTTCAACTTATTCTTCATTTTTTTCTAATTCTTAGAACTAAAAAAAGGTGCATTCCACTTAACACTCATAATACTAGCGAGAATCGTTTGTCCTTGTTTAACATTTGATAAATCAGATTGTATCTTTCTTTTCAGAAATTCAGTGAATAACAGAGATAGAACTACACTATTACCAAATACAAAGCATCTGTTATAGATAGATAAAGTTAGAATGAAATAGTATACATATGAGGAGAAAGTATATACATATTTCTCTCTTTCTTTCTTGTTTTGATAAAATCGCTAGTGGCCAGACTCAGTTATGACCTCTAATTAACTGTAAACTACATTATAGACATAAATATAAGAAAAAAAGAAGTAAATCATATATATGAGAGAGATATTAGAAGACATGGTAGTGTGTTGACCACGGTTGCCAGGTCTTCAGATTTCGACTGGAGACTCCAGTTTTCAGGACCAGTCTCCAGTTCTCCAACAGATGGGAAAAATCTCCAGTTTTTCGCTCGCGCGGAGTATTTATTAATTGCATATTTAAATTACGTGGAAAGTAATAAGAAAGTCTGTGATTATGTTCGTAGTTTATGTTATTTTACGAATAATAAAAAAGTTTGTAATTGTGTTCATACTGTATGTATAAATCTTGTAATAATAATAAGGTCTCTGTGATTGTGTTGATACTTTATGTTGGTCAAATATTAATAACAAAAAGAAAGTTTGTAACAGTGGTCACAAAACACGAATTAAACCTTGCGCCTTTTCTTCTTTTTTTTTTAAATGAAACAATCGGCCGATCTCCAGTCGAAATATGAAATCTCCAGCGCACGGAGACCTTCGAGCCCCAGCTGTACAGTGCTCGGGCAACCGTGGTCTTGACGTGGTCTTGACTAAGATCATACATGAACGAAAGGTTAAGAACTAAGCTGAAATTTTCGATACATTTACAGCCATACGCTCGCACAATTGCAACGCTGAAAAGTATCGAACGGTATTTATCAAGTTATGCCTTTCCTTTTGTCATTACAGTCGCCGCGAGATCGGAGTCACAGGAGTGAGATCGAAGTATTTCGCATCTCGTTGCATGCCACGATGCGACGATGACTCCGCGATAGTCAAATGGATGGTTAAGGACGAACCCCATTATGCGATTAATCCGCAGAAAGACGCACGGGACATTATACTTACTCCTCCGTCTTCATCATTATCAGAAACCGGTCCTCGCTCAGCTTCGGAAAAACAATCTTACGAACTACGTTAAACGGTATATCCAAGTGTACACCAGTACACCGAGCGTCGTATAAAATGGCTGTCACCGGAAGTGCAGCACGGAGCACTGCTCCACCATGGAGCACTGTGAGTGGCCACCGGATCTCACTGGACTCGTCAATATCGCGGAATATGCGTTCTCGCAAAAATCCCGAAGCGATTTCATCGATTTCCTAAAAGCGTAATTCGATTTATTATTCGAGCTTACAATTAAACTGCAATTAAAAAATACGCATGAAATATGTGTCGCGATGAGAAAAATACGAAACGTTTTTCTCGATGAGTTTTGATTTTTGAGATACACCGATATTAGAAAAAAAAAAGAAGTTACAAACCAAATTAATTATTCGAGAGTCTGCGCAGTAGGCGCGGTAACTATGAAATTCAACAAAATTATGTGGTTAATTTATCAAGCAATTTTTTTCTGTAATATTTTATTAATACGGAAATAGATCGAATTAATAATTTTTTAAGAAAAAATATTTAAAAAATATTAGATAAAAAATAATATATAGTTGTAGATACAACGAATTATATAGTTAAAAATTTCTCTTGAAGTATAACTTTGTCAGGTCAATTAATTAATCAATTAAATTAATCGGAGTTGGATTAAGTCGATTCAAAACAATTAATTCGACTAGCAAAATTGCTTAGAGCAAATTTTCTAATTACGTCATTTATTATCTTCGATGTAATCTTTTTTCCTATATACATATATAAAACACAAAAATTATAATAATTAGAAAACAATCAAATTTATAATATTCTCTCCATGATAATATCTTGATCAAAAAGTTCCCGGAATTACCACCAGGTGATGCTCTGAGTCAGCTGATTTGAGTTTTGTTTTTTTGGTTAGGTTGCCACATCTATCAATGGGTGCGTTCAGCAGAACGTTTGTTTTGCAACTGTTGTAAGTTTCCTTCGGGCTAATTGGATCATACTTTTAGATCTAGAAGAATGGTCCTATCTCAGCAGACAATCATAAAACGGTTGCAAAACTGTTGAGTCTGCTGAACGCAGCTATTGACATTTCCACCAAATTTTATCGCCATAGCTTGACATTTGTAAAAGTTACGCCGTCTTGAGTACATCTACCTCGGCACGTGTTTTCGATTTTTTAGTTTTAAAAATGGAGTTGAATTTGCAACAACAAATTTGTATTAAATTTTACGTTAAAAATGGATTCAATATTGCGAAAACCTTGGAAATGTTGGGAAACTGTTTCGGCAGTGATGCTCTAAAGAAAACAACCGTTTACGAGTGGCATGAACGCTTCAGAAGTGGTCGTGAATCCGTCGAGGATGACGAACGCAGTGGCAGGTCGTCGACATCGAAAACCGATGAAAACATTGGTATTGTACATCACGAATTTTTGCCAGAAGGTCAGACAGTTAATAAGGAGTATTATTTGGGCGTTGAGACATTTGCGTGAAGCAATTCGCCAAAA